AACATACACAACAACTACTTAATATACAAAACAACAATTGCTTCTCATCTCTTTCGGTTTCACTTTTTCTATTCTTGTTCACATTCTCTCCTTTGATTATTAAACGAAAATTGCTTGTTCATATTCTCTCCTATAAATCAATAATAATGATTGCTTGCTGCAAATAAAATGAATATTATACATACATCATCAAACGAAATTCTATTCGTGTCTATAGAATTCCAGACTTGCAGATTGAAGCCATATATACATACATCAAGCGAAATCCCAAATCTCTTACCTTACCACCCAATCAGCAGAAGTGGGTGACTCCCTTTCCCCGACTTGAGCTGTGACAGCTCCTTCAAGTCTTGAAACCGTCGACGAGAGGCGGAGCCTTGAAGGAGCAGAGGGAGGGCGGGGATGTCGGGCGTCGAACGGTGGCGGAGCAGAGGACCAGGGAGAGGGCGCGGGAATGGAGTCAGAGAGGCGGAGCTGGAGCAGAGGAAGAGCAGGGGGAGGGTGCGAGATGGAAATCGGGTGACGGGCGGTGGTTGTCGGGAATGGAGGCGCACCGAGTAGAGGATGGAAATCGTGAGACGGGTTATGGTGGTGGCGGGGCGACCGTCAGATTGGAATTTGGAGTCGGGACGGGAGGTGGAGAATAGAGGTCGCGAGTCAGAGAGGGAGAGGATGAATGCGACGGGTGTTTTGTGTCTCTGGGGACTGGGGTGGGGAGTGAAAATGTTTGGGAAATTAGGGTTAGGATGTGTGTACGGGTATCCACGGGTCGGGTTCCCCAAAACCCGAACCCGCCCAACCAGCCACTGGGTTTAAACCTGAACCCGACCCAAACCCGGTCAACACAGGTTTTACCCACTTTGACCGGGTTGGGTCGGGTCGGGTACCCGCGGGTCCTGGTTGAACTGCCATCCCTACTCAAGTGGTCACAGAAGCACCTCCACCAAAGCTTGATTTTGGGACTGTCTATATGTCCAGTCCACTACCAGTGGCGAAGTAGATGGATGCTTACTATTACGGCAAAAAGAGATGAATAGAAACAAGAAAATGATCCGTGGAGCTAGCTACTCGTCGCGAAATGAATGACTTCTTGAAAAAAGGTAAGTAACTTATCCTTCCTCGTGAGTCATTAGTGAATGATAAATTAGAATCTATGGCATACCTTTATGCATGGATCGTAAATGCTAGACAAGAAGCTAGAATCGATGCATGAATAGGTTGACATTGAGATGTGTTATGCTCAATGATTAGAGTACATCTTCGTATATATGTTTTAAAGAGTGATTTTGATTACATGAATGCATACTATGGAATATATATCTGCATATTAAATGGTATATATGTTAGTGAAATGGGTTCTACGCTTATATTTATTTTGGAAGAAGTACTGTTGTTAGTACTAGGTGAATCATTCTGCGAATCTGAACCCTAAAAGGTTCAAGAATCATAATAGCGAACCAGATCCCCACCAATTATAATGGTACCATTCGTGGTAACCAAAGGATCATCCGCCAATTCTCTAAGAATGATGCTTTATTACTCTGCAATAGTTGTGAGAAATTAGGTCATATGACACGAAAGTGTATGAATAAGTATAACACTGGTTCTAGTGTTAACTTGATTGAAAAGAAGGATTGTTGGTTGTGATGATTGTGAAAAGAGCAGAGATTAAACTTGCTGGTAACTCTGAAGAATGATGGCTAAATACTGGTACCTCGAAGCATACTAAGGCATATGCTATTAAGAAAGTGTTGTTGAGTATTGCTCACTCCACTATTGATAATGATCATGAGAGTATGTAACTATGCATATGATGATAATGTTAAAGACAAAGTGTTGAATTCTTATGGGTCTTGCATGCACATATATATTGAAGAATTGAATAGCTAGGGTCACATTCTCATAATGGTTGTGGTAAATGTGATTTCTATAAGATAAATGACACATAAATATGTGATTAGAGAATCAGAATTTTTAGATCTTATTTATTTTGGATAAACGTGATGAGATGTTTACTTGGAATGGTTAATGCTTTCTCGTATTATTGTTGATTGCTCTAATTATTTGGTTAGCTAGTGGTAGAATTAGAGAATCGGTGCAATATGATTACAAGTAAGCATATGATTGTGTTTTACTACAGAAAAACATATAGTTCTCATAACTTGAATACTCATTATGTTGTGGAATCCATTGGTGCCAATAGACTTCCATTAAAATCAAGAGATAGTGGGGGTTGTATCCTACCTACTATTAGAAATAATGAAACTAGTGGGGGTGGTGACTCTGAGTATGAGCTCAGAAGAGACAGATGAACCATAAATCACGAAAAGATTTTGGTTATGAATTTGTTATTCACACCATAAGAAAGAAAGATCCTACAAGTCTGCTAGAAGTTCGAACTTCCATAAAGATGCAGATTTGTGGGAGAATCCATTATTAACGAAATGGAATTATTGGAGTCTAATAAGATTTAGAATCTTGCAGAGTTACCTCTCGGCTGTAAGCCGTGGGTAATATATCGATGGATTATTAAAACTGTTTCGTGAATGGCAGTTTAGATAAAGAAATCTACATGGGCCAACCTAAAGGGTTGTTATTCCTGAACACGCTTTTAAAGTCTATGGTGAGACAAATCATGGTATGATTTGAAATAGACTTTAAAGGTCATGGCATGGATGGATGGTTCTCTCTCATGGGTTTTGAATGAAAGTGACAATTGCATTTGTTACAAACTTGAAAACGACACTTGCACTATAAAAAGACATGTTGATCTTTGCTGTGAAGAATCATGAGACGAATAAATGTGAAAAACCATGTTGAGTGAGAACCTTGAAGAGAAGGATCCAAGTGTTTCGCTTAGAGATCCAAATGACTAGGACAGTGAAAGAGATTTTTTATAGATCAATCTAACTATTTGGTTAAGATCTATAAGAAATACAGGTTGTACACTTGCCTAAATGTTTGAAGATGCTAGTACAATTTTTAAAAGAGCACTAAAGATTGTGTAAGAAAGTAAGAACATACTAGCATCGATAGTCTACGAGAGACAACTGATAAACATGAGACCCGACATAGTGGGGGTACTTGGCAGGCTTACTAATTGTCCTAGTATGAAGCATTGAAATGCTATTAAAAGGGGTCATGAGATGCCTTAAGAGAACATTAGACCTTGATATATGTTATCAACGGTTTCTTGTTGTATTGGTAGGGTATATTGATGCGAACTAGAGTACCCTATAGTGGAATCCAATGCATCCAGTGGGCATGTTTTGAACATCACTGGAAGAGTTGTGTCTTGGAAGTCTAAGAGTAAACGATCCTGGCTTAATCAAATAAGAAATCGGATTTGATAGAACTAGCAATGGATAGTAAAGAGGAAAGTTGATTGAGAGGGTCACTACTAGAGATTCCCTTATGGGAAAGACTGATCCCTCCAGTAGTTGATTTATTGTGATAGCACTGCGGCTATTGCTAAAGAAGGGAACCGGTTATAGAACGAAAATAGACGAAAAAATTGTTGTAAGCACAGTATTGTAAGAGAACTCCTAATGATAGGAGCAATGAGGGTGGATCATGTAAGATCCTAACAGAATCTAGCTAATCGTTTGACGAAAGGATTACCTAGATAGAAAAGTCCAAAATATTACAAAGGATATGAGACTTTTGCCTATCGAACCATGGATTACAAGTGATGATAACCCGACTCGATAGATTGGAGATCCCAAGAAATGAGTTAAATAGGTAAATCCCAATTCCCAAGCCATCTACTTGATCACAACCAATCCATTCATTGGGCCTTATCGGTTTCGTGGCTTTAAACTATAATTTTTGCTATTTATGCTATAGTAGTACCTTTTCATTATGTTTTCTCTGCAGGGAAAGGTTGATCAATTTTTATCCAACCAGAAGACAATGAGCAATGATTTGTCATGTCTGCAGCTGATAAAGACATTTTTTAGAAGGATATGTCTCGAGGTGTTCCATTCATTAGGCAAGCATATATATGCCATATGTTCATAGTTGACTTATCCTGTGTAATTTGCAGAACAAAAACTCTCTACTAAAGCAACTTAAGCAACTTTATATGATTGATTTTGGGCTTCCAGAAAGATTTAGAGAATATGTATACTGATCATTGCTGTGCAAAACAAATGATCGCTTGTTTGAGGTATGAATTACTTTATTCAAGTAAGAGTTGGAAGAAATACCTAAAATAATTGAGATTTTAGTCATTATAATAGCCTTGAATTATCTTCATAAGTCAGCATCAGCTCCGCAACCATAACTATTTTTTAAGATATATAGTAGTTACTAATTAATAAATATTTGATATTATAATTTCTTAATTATTACATTTTTGGATGATTGTTGCCCATTAAGTTTGACCCAGTTTACGGTGAATTTTATCATTCAATATTTACCAATAAGTCAATATGTTGAAGTTTATAATTTCTACTTCAATGAATAATTTTCTTAGCTTCGTTTAGAGCTAATAAAAATGTAAGACAAAATAATGAATACTATAAAGAAATACCTTTTAAGTAATTTATAGCGAATATAAAAAGTGAAAAACATTCTTCTAAAATATGAAAATCTATATCTCATCAATAAAAATACGTATTAACTAATTACTTACGTATTTAGCAATCATCCGATCAACTTTTTATTAATTAACATTACACAATACAAAAGAGATTCATCCAACTAATCTAATTACTTACGTATTTAGCAATCATCCGATCAACTTTTTATTGATTAACATTACACAATACAAAAGAGATTCATCCAACTAATTGGGTGGGGTAAAAACTGTAAAATATAATTGTGATACTTATACTTCCTCCTTCAGCACTGAACCGTTGACCGTTCGGAGGTTGGATTCCCTTCTTTCACTCGTATTTGAGTGTCAGCAACATTTTGTCATTTTCCTTTTCGGATACGGAGGAGTTTGTACTTACTAGTTACTATTATATATTGATCGGCTAGGTCATGTATTCAGAAGCCAGACAATTGGAACCCAAATATTTCCTTATCCCTTCCAAATCCGCAAGCAAAAGCAGAGTCTTCTGTCAATTGGTCTGAGCCATGGCGACGGAAAACTGCACCACGGTTTCATATTTGGCGCTCGGCGCACGGTTCCACCCTGCTCGAGTCTGCGGAAAACGACGCCTCCGTTCAGAAGTAAATCCTCCTACTCCAGCGATAAGCAAACTGGGAGACGATCTCCTCACAGAAATTCTGGTTCGCGGTTTCCCGGATCCTAGATCCGCCTGCCGGAGCAGAGCCGTATGCAAGCAATGGAGATCCCTGATTTCCGATCCCTGCTTCGGTCGCCGCTTCCTTTCTTACCACCAGAGCATGAACAAACACCCTCCTCCCAAGCTTCTTCACTCGACTGACACGAAATCTGTCTCACTGAGCTTTATCCCCTGGCCCGCCGATTGCGCCTCCAATATACAGTTGGAGCTGGCAAGTTTCGCAGTTTTTGATTGCTTCAAGGACCTGCTTTTATGTGGCTTTGGGGAACTAGGTTACCGCCATACTAGTGCTGAACTTGGCAGAACGTACTTGCTGTGCAATCCGTTTACGAAGCAATGGATGGCACTTCCTTTGGCCCCTGATAGACCAGTGGGGCATTCGGGATTGCGTGCAAGGTTAGTTTGTGAACCCTTAGATTCAAACAGTCTAATTTTTAATCTAGGAGGTGGTACTGAGTATCGATTCCGGGTGGTGTGTGTATACCAAGATGCGAATTCCATGAAACTAGATGTGTTCTCTTCGGAGTCTGGAGAATGGACCAGGGAGGCGTTTGTTCTTGAAGGTTACTGCAGACCCAAACTAAACAATGTTGTTTCATGCGATGGGGTTTTGTATTTGTCGTATGTTAGAGCACAAGGCAACCATGATGGGTTGTCTGAACCTTTGATTGCTGCTATTAATCCTTTCCGCCTTGATATACCTCCAACTCCTATTGATGTTTCCCCAGTCTCTGCTAATAATCCGTGGTGGGATATTTCAATTTCACAAGGTGCTGTGCACTTGATTGTGTTTGAGGAGGGCACTAGACCTGCTTCTTCGAGGATTGTTTTGAGTGTTTGGAGATTAAACGAAGACTGTAAATTCTGGAGGAAGGTATGCGCAGGTCTGGTCAAGTCATCCTCAGACGGTAATTATCAACCCGGGTCCCTTTATGTTCCTACGCTACATCCAGAAAAACCGGAAACTGTCTTCTTCACTCTTAGGCATTCTTACTTGTCCTGTGAATGTGATTTGAGCAGGGGAGGGCAGCTAGAGTTCTTCGCTAAACCAGCTCAACATTGTAGTGGTTGGAGGGTGTTCCAGCCTAAGGTCTCTTGCTGGCCTACTCCAATTCCAAAGTACCAGAAGTTGCGAGTTAGGTACGATGGAATCTTCGACTGTTGGGATCAGTTTGATGAACCCGAACCAATAACTCCCTTGATAACTGGTACTTATGTTACTTCGACTTCAGAGAATTTGCCTTTTGAACAAATAGAAGAATGGCCACCCGTTGACGGAGTTGTACAATCTTGTCATTCGAAGAAGCTGAAACGAGGGTGAAAGGCTCGCCTCCTCGTCAAGGAAAGGAAGGATGCCGGATTTGGAAGGAAATTCCGATCTACAATAGAAGGGTGCAGGAGTTGATCTACTGGGGCAGTATTGGTAACTGTTGTTTATGCACTCCGAGCATATTTAAATTAGTTGGATTGGTAGTTCTCGTAGAAGGCTCATTTCATGTTGCATTTACGATTGTAGAAAGTGTGTGATTGTGTTAAGCCTATGAATTTGTTTCTTGAAGGGCGAAGGTTTAGAATATATGAGCCCGGTGATTGTGTTAAGCCTATGAATTTATTTCTTGAATATATGATTTTAGGAGTTAATTGTTATAAATGAATCGTCACTTTTAATACTCGCAATGATGCTCATCACGCTATGTTCCTTATTAGTTAAGGGGAATTTTGGGTTAAATGAAAAGGATCGAATGAGGATAAATGATATACTATGACCGAAGGATTTCACAACCCCTTATTTTGGGGAAGGCTTTTCAAATCCGTCGAAGAAGTAGTAACTTAGAAATTCATGAAACATGTTATATGAGTTTACGGTACCTATTTACTCCAGCAAACAAAGGTTTTTAGCCGGACACTCTTTTTCAGAATTTTATGCTTAAATCTGTCATCCGCCATTGATATTCAACAGCGGAACCCCAGGAAAGAGAAAAAGAAAAAAGGGGGGGGGGGGGGGGGGGGGGGGGCAGAGCTTGAAACTCAGAAGAAAAGGGGCTCTTCACTGTGATGAGTCGATGAAAGGTATGATTGTTGTTCATCACTTGCAAACTTTATTCACTTCTGAATGCTTGCATGCTCAAGAGTCAAGAGTTTGTGCAGCAGTTAGCCTTGCCTCAGCTTGTTGCAGTGTTAGGTGTATTCTCTGCTATATATACCATCTTTCTATGTGCTGTTCTTGTGAAGTATTGTCTTTTTGAATTCATCGCCATGTATTGATGCAAGCATGTATCTGATGATCAGGGGTGTGCTGATTTTTAGTTTCTAATTGGTGGCTCCGACTTTTAGCTGTGAAGTTATTGCTTTGGTTAAGAGTTATCCTTGTTGTTCTCTGGTTCTGCTTTATACTTCACTGTTTTCTGTAGCTAGTAACCATGCATAGAACTTAGTTGGCTTGATGGTAGCTATAGTCTCTTCTTGGTGTTGCAGTTGCTACGAACAAAGTTGCGCCTATGGTGATATCATAACCGGAAAGCTTGATGTTGTTTTGGAGTGTGTTTATATTCTCGCCGCTGTCGTTTGAGAATTTGTGTTTATATGCTCTCAGTTATCCTGTTTTCCTCAATGCACTGTGCCAAAAGCTAGTTTATTCATGAAGAAATGTTGTTTCGGCTGTTATTTGTGAATGGCGTTAAAGGTGTCTTAAGAGCAAGCCTTTTATGAATAAGCACTGCATCCTGGGTCCGTTTATCTCTTTCCTTGTTGCATTTTTCACGTGTTGAGGATCAATGTGATCTGATACTACCCTTTGACAATGAGTTACAGGCGTGCCTCAACTTACATTTATATTGTCAAAAACTGTGGAGGCTTACCCAAATGGCTCTGATTATATCCTGACTTTCAGCTGGTGGTTGGGGGACAGAGTTGGTGCTTTACTGTAAATCCAAACTTTTCATTGGTGATAGATCTAGTAGCTAGACATGGAAAGCAAGTTCAGAAGAAAGAAGCACGGATATGCATTAGTGGCTTGGTATGGTTCTGAATGAAACTCTAGCTGAGCAGATGGCAATGATGTGTTCTCTTCTGTGGTTCTTTTGGAAGGAAAGAAACAATTTCTTGTTCAATAATAGATTTTTGCAGGAATGGGAAGTGTTTCCAAAGGCAGACAGGTTCATTGTAGGAAACAAGATTTCCTACAGAATGGGAATTGGGGAATTTAGCTAGATCAATTAGGGATTGATCCAACTAGGGATTAGAATTGGGGATTTAGAACAAGAAGAGGGAAGAATTTGGGCTGCTGCAGCAGCTTTGGAGGGAGAAAAGAGAGAGATAGAGCACGCAGGAGAGAGGGGAGAGAGAGTTAGGATTTAGGTTTTGGTTCTGTAATTGCTTAATCCCAAAATAAGACCCTATTACAGATTATATAACCTGTCTAATTCCTATCTGCTACCCGAATAATAAAACATAACAATTAACTCCCTGTTTATTCCCCAAATACCCAAATAATCCCCCAATCAATAAAAACCGACACTAATACGAAATAACCGAAAACAGCTAATAATTATGTTTCCACATCCCCTCTTCCTTCGAAAAACAACCTTGTCCTCAAGGTTGTTCCTCCAGCTTACTAGGCCTCTTCCTCCCCATTTCCGGCGTCCTCCTCCTCATCCTCTGCTTCATCTTCCCAGCGCCCCACTAACATCATCAAATCCGGCTTCGGGCACTGGTGACCAATGGTGAACCGGCCATCACAGTTGAAGCACTTGCCCTCCCGTCTCTTCTGCTCAATCTCTGCTGGCGTCAGTCGCACAAACCCCTTTGGTATGGCCCGCGGCCCCATCCTGACCACTGGCGCAGGCCCTCCACTGCCCGCATTGGCTCCAGTTGAGCCTCCCCCGGTTGCCCCTCCTGTGCCGCCACTGCTGCTTCCTCCTCCTCCGCTTGGCTTTGAGAAGCGGCCAATGGTGCTTCTCCAGCTAGCCAGTTCTTCCTCCTTATGACCTGCAAGACGAAAAGCAGTTTTCACAGAATCGGGCTCAAACACCCTGACTGCCGCTGCTATCTCGGGTTTGAGACCCGCCATGCACAGCCCCACCAAGGTGTCCTCCGAGACTCCCTTGCATTGGTTCCCCAACTTGAAGAACTCCGCACGGTACTCTGCCACTGTGCCGGTCCGACCAATACCGGTCCGCTCCGGTTCGGTCCGACCCCCTCCTGGCCCGTTCGCCTGTCCCGGCCCAAAAGGAGCCGCCCCGCCTGGCCCCACCTGGTCGGCGGCCCTGCTCGGCCCACCAGCCCCCTTCTGGTTCATCTCCTGTTCAGCCCACTGGGCCTGCTGGCCCGCCAAGCTTAGTTGGTCATACTCGGGCCCATATTCCTGGTCCAGCCATCCCAGCCCGTTATGGACCCTCGTATACTGGACCATCTGTCCCGGCCCACCATTCATAGGAGGCCCATTGGCGTCATAACCAACCATCTTAGCCTTTCCCTTTCGGGCCGCAATTTCTTGGGCCGTGGGTGTCGGTAACAGGCCCGAGCCCAGCCCTAATGGAGTCCGATCAGCCCTGGCCGGCCCGGTGTTCGCCACCCTGCTCCCCTCGGCCCCTTCGCTCGGCGCGACCGCCTGAGCCGCCGCCGCCCTCGCCGAACCCGTCCCGCCGCCGGCTCCGCTACCGGCCCCGGCCGCCGCGGCCCTCGCCCCCACCGGCGCCTCTAGCGCCGCTGCCGCGGTGCTCCCACCTCCAGCCGCCTCTTCCGCCTCCCCCGAGCCGCCGCCCCCTTCGATCGTCAGCTCAGCCTGTTTCGGCGCTCTCTCTGGTTCGCCTCCCTTTGCCTGCTACGAGGTGATTGCCCTCATCAGGTCCTCCATCACCACCTCGTCGCGATCAACACCGCCCGTTCCGGTGCTCCTTTCGGCTGCCTGGGCCTTCTCCTCCGCCGCCTTCATCGATTTCGTTGTCACCATCGTTGCTTTCCCTGGTTCAAGAGTTCAGATGAACTCACTCTCGAAACCGGGCTCTGATACCAGATGTAGGAAACAAGATTTCCTACAGAATGGGAATTGGGGAATTTAGCTAGATCAATTAGGGATTGATCCAACTAGGGATTAGAATTGGGGATTTAGAACAAGAAGAGGGAAGAATTTGGGCTGCTGCTGCAGCAGCTTTGGAGGGAGAAAAGAGAGAGATAGAGCACGCAGGAGAGAGGGGAGAGAGAGTTAGGATTTAGGTTTTGGTTCTGTAATTGCTTAATCCCAAAATAAGACCCTATTACAGATTATATAACCTGTCTAATTCCTATCTGCTACCCGAATAATAAAACATAACAATTAACTCCCTGTTTATTCCCCAAATACCCAAATAATCCCCCAATCAATAAAAACCGACACTAATACGAAATAACCGAAAACAACTAATAATTATGTTTCCCACATTCATTCGAGACTTTATGGAAGTGAAAGGCAAGGATCTGTTAACAAGGAAGGGAGAAGGAATTGTAAATGGAGAAAACCTCCAATTGGAGTTTTTAAACTCAACGCGGATGCAGGTGTGAGTGCAAGGGTAAGCGCAGCCTTGGTTTGTGTTGTCAGGAATTGGTTGTCTTTGCTGCAACCTGTATTGATTCTGAAAGATGGACTCCTGATGTTGCAGAAGGGAAAGCTATTCTCTATGGCCTCACGAAAGTGACTGAGAAAGGAATTGCTCACGAGTTTCAAGCAAACCTCAGAAAGGACACTCGGGCCCAGCCTTCCTCGATTTGTTGACCAACCTACTCCCTGTAGGTATAGCGCTCATACTCATTCTGCATAGGAATATCTTCACTTTCTGTTGCATTTTGCTCTTCCATAGTTTAGACCAGAACTGTCTTAGAGCTTCAGTAAAGTTAGTGTGTCTGTTATTTTATTTATTTATTTATTTATTATTTTTTTTTTTTTTTTTTTGCATATGATACTTATCTTTTCCTCCGCGCATCACTTCCGAATTGTCATAACCTTGTTAGTCAATTTGCATCCTATAAACAAGTACGTGGCAAGAAAGTGAATCTACAGAAATCCACCTTCACTTTCAGCAATAATGTCCTACTTGCAGAAGCTGTTGCCATCATCTCTCTTTTTGGATTCACAGCTGGTGACCATCAAGACCGTTAAGCTTGCAACATCACTGATGATTCATGGTGGGCTAGGAACAAGTGTAATCACGTTAGGTCGTCCAGATGCAGCAGATAGTAGCCCTTCTCTCGAGCATTGTGGAAAGGGTGTCATATGACCAGACTCTTCTTTCCTTATCTTATACAAATTGTTGTAAACATTTGTTCTGTTGTGCTTTTTCCTGTACCACTTTTCACTCGTTCACTTCCTTGTGGATATTCCTTGGCACGAGACCATCTAAGCTGTCAGATGTATTGTTTATCATCTACAATCAAAACATTTTTCTTACTTTGAGCCTCCGGAAATAGCTCCAATGTATGAGTGATGGAAACCCAAATTAGCACTAGGATTATTTATATTTTCCATCCCTAGAATCAACCAATATACATCATCTGACCACTCAATCTTGAATTAAGCTTGCACCCGAACTTTCCAAAAATAGTAAAAGGCCTTGTTTCCTTATTCGGATAAGAAGTAGGAGCCTTTATTGTAACACCCTTCACATTTACACATAAAACAACAGTTTACTTTACATAAAGCAGTACAAGGTTTATAAACCGGTTAAAACATATCACAAAACACAACGTTGTTTTCAAACTTGCCCCAAAAGAAAACTTCTTTCATTTCCCAAAACCTTAAAATGTATATATGGATATTCAAGTCTTTCGCCCCTTAGAACATGACTCAAGGACAGAGCAAAGACAACCTATCTTGGTACAACCGTCGAGCCGTTATTCTTCTCGACCATACCGAATTAATTGATTTAATGTAGGCATCGCTCTTTCCTTTGTCCCCTCCCCCCAATATTTTCCGTATCAGTAGTGATTACTCCCGAT